TATTGACCAAGCGCCAAAAGGCGATCAAACAAGCTGGCTTCAAGCCAGGACTTCCACTTCCAACTAAGGCATCACACAACATTAACTAAAACTGAAAAATATTCTAGCCATGCAAATATTTTCCCCTGAAATACTTAACAGTTTACAGTGACTGATGAGAATTCAACAAATACTTAAATTTATACCACTGAAAATCAATCTATCTATATCTATCTATCTATCTCACATTTATATAACCGCCCATCTCACACAAAGCGACTCTGGGCGGCATACAACAATTAAATAAAATAACAAATAGATAAAAACAATCATTACAAAAGATAAAGTGATTATTAAAATACAACATCATCAAAAAGTTTAAAAAATTTAAATTTTAAAATCTCAAATTATGAGATTTAAGACTGCTTAGTTAGTTGTAAGGCAATTACATAGTAGAGAGTTGCAATTAACATGTAAATGTGCTATTTTGTCTATTACTGTATAGGAAATGTGAAATTTCATGTACTGTATGTACAGTATGTATCACCATCATGTAACCACTTCTGTAACTTTTGAAGTGGCCATAAGTTAACACGTTTGGGTAAAACTCATAGATCAGTGGTTAATCACTGAAAGAAAGAAAGTCCTAAATTCAATCTCTAATTAAAAAGTAAAACAATAATTTCTAGCAAAAAGGAGATGCTCCACAGAAGCAGAAGAAAACAGCTAAGAGAAAAAAGCAGAAGCGAATAAGCTTTTTATAAAAGGAGAAATAGGGTCACAAAAGCACCATAGAGCTGGATTCTTACCAACACTGTAAGAGTGTCAAGAAGTCAAAAACCTTGCGAGAGTTTAAGACTTCATCTAAACTGTACTCCTTTTGAAACTGAGAATTTCTACAGAAAACAGGGAGAGAAAAAATGAAATCAGAACAGTTCAAAAACAGAGCGACTGTATTATTGCCTTTACTCTTCAAAAACATAAGAGCATCTTCACACAATAGGTTAAATCATCATATGACTTAGCAATGAACATCTCCTGCTGGTGCTTCTGCCAACTCCTTACACAAGTTTAGAAATTGCACCATTTCTGAAGTCTCATTTGAATAATGTAGTTGCATAAAACAGCTTTGTCGAGGTCAGTCCAAGCACTACTAGCATAATACTCTCCCTAATAACAGCAGAAGTTTTTGTTGCTTCCGCAGGAAGTACAAGAAAATGATGGTTCTCTTCTGTTGTGTATTCATGTTCAGAGTGATACTGGGTCTGCTCACCAGCTGTGCATTTAGAGATTATCGGTATCTGCCATTTATATCCTAATCCTTCATGATTTTATCTCTATAACCCTTCCTTTTTTGAGCATGGGAATTTTAAAAATCTATTGGCCACCTTTATGCCCCCCTCCCATTTTAAATAGCTTCGTTGCTTTCTTTCTAAAACACGCTTTTTTTTTAGCCTGGATCCTAACACATGTTATTTAAAATACTGTACTTACGGATTTTCATGATTTTATCTCTATAACCCTTCCTTTTTTGAGCATGGGAATTTTAAAAATCTAGTGGCCACCTTTATGCCCCCCTCCCATTTTAAATAGCTTCGTTGCTTTCTTTCTAAAACACGCTTTTTTTTTAGCCTGGATCCTAACACATGTTATTTAAAATACTGTACTTACGGATTGTTCACTGAATGCTTATGATTCTTCCAGGCAATTTTTGCAAAGTGTTCAAGCTTTGTCCCTAAAATAAAAAAAAGTATGTAAACGTTTATTTCAAAGTCCTTAAAAATGCTGACTTCATAAGTTGGTTTAACTTGATTTAAACAAATAACATGTTTCATGATCTCAGATGCTCAAAGACATCTCCTAGAAATTAGATAAGAACCATGTTTCAAGGATACACAGACGCCAAAGCAATTCACAGAATTCCAGCAGATTGTATACTGCAGCAAAGCTGCGCCCCTTAGAAATCAGTATTTTGGGCACAAAGATCTTCATGGTGATCCGGCACATCAGTAACATTCTACGAAATGTCTTCATTGTGTCTTCTTTCGAACAGTAATATTTTTGACATACCATATTTCTCCATGTGTTCTTTGCCAGCATTTCCAAAAAACTGTGGAGCAACTGGGACTGCTTTCATGCCATATTTATTTATAATAATTTCCAAATGCTTGTCTAACGGATTTGTTCTGTCATCTGACTGAAAGAGACAAATATATATTATGCAACCTGTAAGACTCTTATACTGAGCACATATAAAAAGGATAAGATATTGTTAAAGTTCTCTCGTTGGTTATCAGCCATATAGTCTTATCAGTTTGCATCATTTTATTTGCATCTGAACCAGACATATAGGCAAGCAGACATATCCAACAATTTATAAAAATCAAATGTATTAATTTTCTGCTGCAAAGTCAAGTACCTAACTTATAAGTGAGCCCAATTTATAATGTTCATTTTCAGGTAAGAGTCTAGACTTCATCATGTCAGGAGTTTCAAAGAAACAATAAATATCCATAACATACATATGAAAAACCAAAATGCTGCTATATAATGGAGCCAAGCGCAAATCAACGTACACGTACGTTGGGCAAAGCTAACAACAGAATAATACAAATGGCTCAGTAAGGAGAAGGTCTTTCATAAAACCAGATAAATCTATAAGCCAGAACATCAAAATAATACACACAATTATTTTTCACTTGACTTTACCGCCATTCTCTAATTCTTGTTCTTGAGTGTCTTGATTTAGGTTTACATTTTTATCTTAATGTATTCTGCCCTGTATTTTCCCTACTTTCATATCCACACTGATCACTCAGGGCAGCTGTTGCACAGTAAACCCTTTCTGAAGGTGATGTAATAAATATGAGGCTTTGAACAGGCGGCTTAGATTCAGAAATGTCTCTGGAAAGGAGCAGTCAGAAAGTAAAAAGGACCCTTGGAATGAATGCTCAGAGTCATAAGACCTGCTTGGGGGAAAGAGTGAGTCTCATCCTATTCATTTTAGTCCTAAAAAGCTTAAAATAGCTCTTTTAGAAAAAGAAAAAAGTGAACAAACCTTAATATGTATATATGCTGGTGAATACCTAGCTGTGACAAACATACCCTCAGGGACACCCCTGGCTGATCAGTCAGATCATATCAGCTTTATGAAGGCTCCTGATTGTGGGCCAGCCCAGTCAAGAGTTGGCTCCCCAGGTCAAATACTTAAGACATTAATTTTCTCTTTTTTCACCAAGTCTTTATCCTTTCAGGATGCCTCTTTCATTTTGTGGGCCAAAGCAAATCACAAGGTGCTCCAGCCTTTGTGCTAGCTCTGTAACTGCAGTTTATAGAGCACTTTGGCATTCAACCCCACATTCTTAGCCAAACAGAGATCAGTGGCACACAGTTCCATTGCTTTGTCTCCTCCCAGCCCCAATTTCCCAATCCTTTCAGAGAAACCCAGATACAAACTGTAAGCCTTGAGAGAAACCCCAGACCACTGCTTTCCTGGAAGCCTTGATGACCCCAACGAAGTAGGATTCCAGTAGATCAGAAAAAAATTGCCTTCTTCCCTCTGCCCCCTTCAGCTAGAGCCACAGCTTCCTTCTGCTCCAAAAGGCCAGGCCTCTGTGCCATTTGCCTGGAGGACCAACTAGGACTGCCAAGAAAGAACTGAAAGGAATCTTTCTCAAGAATTACACTACTAAGCACAGTAGAACATAAGGTCTAACCAAAGAAGGACAGGAAAGGAGTTCCAGAGCTTTGAAGTGTTGGAGAAGTATCCATTTATTTCATGAACTTGAACCAGGCTACCTTTGCTCTCCATCTATTGTGTGGCCCCCTAAGTGGCCCAACAGCCCCCTTAGGAGATAAAATCTTCTGAACCAGTTCTGGGTGGATTATTTCTTCAAATACCAACCATTCCATATTTCCACCCCAGTCCCTTTAAAATGAGTATTTGTATGTGCTTGTTTCTTTGCATTTGTATTTGGAATATCACACCAAATTACGAATTTCCCCCAGCCAAAATAATTCAAATATATTTTTGCTAGTTGGATTCTGTGTGTTTTCTATGTGTCAGTAAGAACTCTTTTAATTGGAAGAGATAGTTCCATGTGCAGTAAACAGGTTTAATTCACCAAAACACACTTTTGCTTAAATTCTTCTGATTTGGGGCTTAACAATCCCTTACTGAATAAGAGGTTTCAGGTTTGAACCATGCTTCTGAGTACAGTTGGTATCAGAGCTTACATCAATTATAAAGAAGGAAATGGGAACTTCAGTTCTGGAAGAGGAAGGAAAAATGGGGTAAGGCAGAAATACTATTAGAAGCTAATTTAATTTTACTGCTGCAGGCAAATCCCACTGTGGAGTAAGCAAGCATCAAGTCAGGCTTTCAGGGCGCACTGAAGACATAGTGACCTTTGGTTCGAGGCCAGCATAATATAGCCAGAGAGAAAGGTAGCAGAAGAGAGCGTGGATTTATAAATGGACAACATCAGCTAGTTAGGAGAAACTTGCTTTAGGAGTAGTGGAATCTTTATCCTATTTGTGATATGGAGAGAGACAAACATCCTCAATATACTGTTGATGCACCTGTATGTCCCCAACCATATATTCCATGACTACTCTGCAAAAAACATGTAGGTGGGGTGTCCATGGCAGATGGTGGGGGGAGTGAAAAAAGTCAAGACAGCAGGCATGTCTGCAATGCACATAAAAAGGGGCACGGTTGCAACTGCCATCTTGATAGTTTTGATCCTTCTTCCCGCAGATGACCCTCCCTACAAGAACTGGGAGTGTTGGTGATAGGTGACTTTACATTTTTCCAGCAATCATAAGTAACACTTTGAATGCTGGGGAAATGCATTTCTCTTACAATTGATGTGACTTCCATGGATGCCACAGATTGCACTTCCATGGATGCCACAGATTGCACAAGGGGGACAGGAATGGGGGGGGGGAGATCTATATCCTTTCTGTTAGTCTAGTAATAGATAAGTACCCCAGCAAAAGTATCTTTTCATTTTCTAATCAATGCTTAAAAATTGTCTTCTCTAGTTAAGAAATTATAGCTATGACATCATTTGCTAAATAGTGGAGACAGAGAGATGAAACACTCTCATCCATCTTTCAAATGTGCCAAACTAAACAGAACTTTCTTTTCCTACTTAACAAAGACCGGAACACTTACTTGAGATGTTGAAATGGGCCCTCTTGTCATCTTTTCAAATCCAAGAGCCAGTACACAGTCAGCCAAACCTTAAATATAAAAATTATTGGATAACTATGCTTTAAGTTTTAATAAAGAGGTGAACAAAAGTTAGATCTACAGTATTGGTAGCTCTCTAAATAATTTGGAGATTATAGGCAAGGATTAGTCACTCTTTTCTTTCTCTTCTGCCTAAAATTTAATTGCAGAAAAAAAAAGCTTGGGATGACCAGGAGTGGATTTTTGTGCAGAAGGATTTGGAGTTCCATTCATTGTGTCCCCTCAAAACAAATTCAAGGCAGATAATTATGTGTATTAAGTTTCTGCTGTAGGAAGACAATATGACATCTGTGCTAAAATCTCTCTTAAACAGCTGGGCGCCTTACTGATTTTCAGTTTAAAGCAAAAGTCTGGTTTCCAGCTAACCATCTTTTTAATTCCCTTGAATGCCTCCAGGTCCAAACTGGAGCAAGACATATTCTTAGAAATAAAGATGAGTAACAGTCAGAAACCAGGCCTTTGCTTGAAAGCTCCTATTAACCTCAGTTCCCGTGCATGAAACTGCCATTGAGAGCTATGCAGAAATGAAGGCAGGGGCCAACCCTGGGAAAACAATCCAGTAGACCAAGGGAGGGATTGCACAGGCCTGCATGGAAACCCTGAGGGAAGAGAAAATGTAAACCTATAGGTTCTGTTGCACGTGCATGGGAAAGTATATCAGTTGGGGAGGAAATAAAGGAGTGAGGTTAGAAGCTGTGATGTTCTGAGAGCATACAGAATAAAAAGAGGACAATTTTGAAGAACAGATCACAGGAACAAAGGGATAGGCTTGTGGCCTGTGATTCAGCCCCATCTGTGTCTCATTTTTAGCCTCACTGTTCTGTGAAATGGGTGTTTCATGAATAGCCATGTCCAGTCATTTTGGGATGGCACCTGCAAGACGTTTCAAATCTCCATTAGCCCCGAAATGTTGGATGATTTCTCAGCTTGGTAGATCTCAGGGCTCTAGTAATAAACAAAACAGATCCCACAAGCGTGAAATCTACAGACCAGGGTAGGTAGGTTTGGGTGGCTAGGGGCATGCTTAGCATTTAGGGGAAGCCTCAAAACCACTGGGCAGGATAATGATATGAACTGAGTACCATATATACTCACGCATAAGCCCATCTTCAGATAAGTCAACCCTCGAATTTTTAACCAAAATACCATGAAAAGTATGCTGCCCACAGATAAGCTGACCCACATTTTTCATGGTATTTTGGTTAAAAAATCGAGGGTCTGCTTAACTGCAGATGAGCTTATACGTGAGTATATACGGGATATATGGGTATTTTTAAAAAGTATTACTGTATTTAGTTGCAGATAAGCCCATCCACAGATAAGCCAAACCCAATTTTGGCACCTAAAATTCTCAGTTTATCTGCAAGTATATATAGGATATCTTTATTACATACATGAATGTTGACTGAAACCAAAATTGTTAATATTTTTCCTCTTGGCTTTTGTATTTGAATATTATTGAAAATCTGTGGGGAGATTTCAAATATGCAGTATATGCAAGGAGATCTGAGATTATTTCTAAGCTGGATAAGCTCTGCAAGGAAGAGAGGGAAAAAATTCCAAAAGTAAGAATGGAAAGACTGGCTACAGGAAACATTTAGAAGCTGTTATTTCTGCCAAAGGAGGTGTTACAAAGTACTGACTGAAAGGGTATCCAAACTTTTACACAAGCCATATTCACTGTTCTCTTATTCTGCATCTGTAAATGATTGTACACGAATAGTAAGTATGCATACTTAAAGAAAGATGTCATGTTTAATTTAATGTTTAATTCAGTACACCTTAGAGGATGTGTCAGCTTCTGTTCTGAGCAGGGGTCAAATGCAACTGTATTTGGTGGGGATCAGGAAATATAACTTACCTCCTCGTATTGCTTGTCCTGCCAGGAACAAAGCTGTTGAACCAGTAGCACAATTGTTGTTAACGTTTATAATAGGGATACCTGTTAGACCCAAATTCTGATAAATAGCCCTCTGACCGCAAGTTGAGTCACCTTTAGATTAAAAAAAAAAGTTTTGATAAAATACCATCATATTTTCTAGCCTCTTTCTAAAATTGCTAAATTTCTTCATGTTGACCTGTAAAGTGGTTCACTAATTTTTGGTTTGACATGATGCTGGAATCCAGCCATTGTGGTTTGCCAGGATTATTACTTAGCAAGTCGTATAAATCCAACCTCCTGTGATTTATTCTACTGTGGTTGCCATGGCTTAGTGTGAGATCTGAACTAGTCAGGTGCCTTCTGGTGGAGTTATCCTTTGGGGGAGATGGGTGGCATATA